GAAGGGGCCGATTTCTCCAGAAACGCATTTCTCGGCGGCGGCGCTCGCCTTCCTCTCGCCCCCTTTCCGAGCAGGACACGGGAGGATCCTCAGGTAAAGAGATTTTCTTGCAGATCCCTGCCCTGCCCCGTGCCAAAGCGGTCTGAAACGGTCCTGAAAAGGACCAGAAAGCTGGTGCAAAGAGCTGGAGGGTTTTTTTCCCCACTGGATGCAGAGTTTTGTCTCGTGGCATGCACGGGCGAGCAGTCCGAGCCGCGCCGTCGCATCACCCCCCTCTGGGTGCTTTCTCCAGGAGCATCGCGTGCCCTCTCTCGTGCCTCAGTTTCCCTTCCTCTGGCGGGGGAGCAGCTCGGCTGAGGATTTTTGGTGCAACATTCCCCCCCCGCAAAAAAATTGCTGATTTGCCTCTAATTTTGCTGCAGGGAGCAATTCCCCTGGGCAGGACCCCGGGGATCAGACCCGGGGTGAGGCATGAGGACTAATGGGCTAAAAGCATCCAAGTTTCTGATGTCTTAATTAGTCTTCGCTATCAGACAGCAAGGGAAAAAAAGGGAAAAATAACCCTGCTGGCTTAATGCTTTAAAATGCTCAAAATGCCTGACCCACTTGCATCGCGACGGGGCATGAAGACGCCGCCAAAGGTCCCCTCGGTGCCTCCACGCAAGGCTTGTCACCAATTTTAGGCTTTTATAACCCCCCTGCCCGTCATTTTCTCAGCCGAGGATGAAGTCCTCCTTCGCCGTCCTGCTCCTGATGGCGGGTGAGTGTGCGAAAAGGCCACGGCGTGGCTTCCAAGGATGCTGCTAGAGCAGGAAAAAAAAAATCGTGCTAAAGTCTAAAATTTCCTTCCCCGCCAGGAGCTGTGAGGAGCGTCATGCCGGCGCAGGACGACGGTTGGTATTTGGGCTGCGTGAGGGGATGGGTTTTTGCATAAATTCAGGTTTGTTTCCAAGCGAAACGGTGCTGTTCCGGCTTCAGTTCGGGGAGGAAGGAGGACGCTGAGATTTGTCCCCGCTATAGAAGTGGGATGCTTTAATTCGGCGCCGTTCCCCCCCGAATCGGGCGACTGCAGTCCCCCCGGGATCATTCCCAGTGGCTCTGATTTCCCCTGGCCTGTAGGACACCCAAGACATATCCATCCTTGGTGGCCTCCTCCTTCTTGGAGGCAAAACAGCCCCCGTTTTGAGTGGGAAACCCCAACCTTGGTGGTCCTCAACCCCACGCTGGGATGTGGTGAACCCTGAAAAGCATGACTTTAGGCAGGGGAAGGTCAAGGGGTTCCCCTGCACTTTGAGGCACTGCCAAGGACCTCCTCTGCCTCCCTCCAGAGCCTCTACTCTACCCCTATGGTCTGGACCAGCATGACCACAAAAATCCTAAGCTCGATGATGGGGCATCGAAGAAGCTCTCCCTCTCCGTACCCTTCACTTTCTACGGCAAGGAGCACCGGTCCCTTTATGTACGTGAACCAGTAACCTTCCTCCGTGTTGTGTTTGCACCTCTCCCTCCATCTTTCTGCTTTTTCCCCCCTTTATTGCTGCTTCTTGTAGTCTCTCTTGCCTGGCTGGTGCATGCACAGTCCATCCAGCCATGGGATTGCCCAGGTTCTCTTCCTGTGAGGGTTTCTGGGGCATCAAAGCACTTGCAGGAGTCTTGCAGGAGGATCTACAAGGTCTTGCAGGAGGACCTACAAGGTCTCGCATAAGGACCTATGAGGTCTTGCAGGAGGACCTACAAGGTCTTGCATAAGGACCTATGAGGTCTTGCAGGAGGACCTATGAGGTGTTCACCTTTCACAGGTGAACAACAATGGCGTGATCTCCTTCAGCTCCCGGGTCAACCAGTACACCCCTGACCCCTTCCCCCTGGCCGACGGGCGCACTTTCGTCGCGCCGTACTGGGGGGACGTGGACAACGTGCTGGGCGGGGAGGTCTTCTACCGTGAGACCACGGAGCCAGCACTGCTCCAGCGCATCACCAAGAGCATCAACCAATACTTCCCTACGATCCCCTACACTGCCACGTGGGCTTTTGTGGCCACCTGGGACCATGTGGCCTATTACGGCTCCACCAGCAACAAGGTAAGGTGCCCCAAAAGAAGGTGATGAGTGCCCATAAAGGGATGCAGAAGGCAGAGGTGTTCCCTTTGATGCCCCTAATCTGACAGCTGATGGAGAACGGAGCACAAGGAGACATCTTGAGGTTCAGGGATGGTGTCCAGGAGGTTAAACATGTCAATATTTGTGGATCTTGCCTAGCCCTATGGCTCTCTGCACAGACACACACACAGGGCCATGGGTGAAATGAATCACACCCTAAGGTCACCCTTTATCTGATGCTTGGGGCAAGCCTAAACTAGAACTGGCTCTGGTGCAGGTGCTTGATGTGTTGGCCTTCACTACCAAAGCGTTGGCCTTCACCACCACCATGTTGGCCTTCATGACTGACATGGTGGCCTTCATGACTGATGCGCTGGCCTTCACCACTGATGCAGTGGCCTTCGTGACCAACGCGGTGGCCTTCACGTCTGACGTGGTGGCCTTCACTACCGACATGTTAACCTTCAGGACATTTGAGCTTAGCCTGTGTCATCCAGACCCTCTGCCCAGGTGAAATCCACACCAGGGTGCCACTCTTGGAGCCAAATCCTGCATGGACCTACTAACTGCAACTCCTCCCCCCCCCGACTCTCTCATGTCCCTCTTCTTTTGCAGGGAAACACCTTCCAAGCCGCCCTGACCACCGACACCAAAATGTCCTTCATCATCCTCAATTACGCCGACATCCAGTGGACTTCCGGGTTGGCGAGCGGTGGCGACCCTGACACAGGTCTTGGAGGCACCCCAGCCCACGTACGTCCCACCTGGGTGTCGTTAAGGCCTCCCCAAGCCAGACTGGAGGGGTGAAAGGGGTTCGCTCCCAGGGCCTGGGTCATGCTGGGAAATAATTGCATCGTTAGCTATCTAACGAGAGGACTCAGGCTCTTGGAGGTCCACAAAAGGCTGCAGCAAGGCAATTCCTGTTAGATATTAGAAAAAAAAACCTCGTTTGCCGTGAGGGTGGTGCCACCCTGGTGTGGTCCCCATCCTTGGAGACGTTGAAAACCCAACCCGGCGCTGGCATTGGCCTTGCTTTGAGCAGAGCGACGCACTAGGGACCTCCAGAGGTCCATCTCACCCTAAATTGTCCCAAAATTAGCCTGAAACATCTGGGCTGTGGGGAAGGCTGTGCCTGGAGACCATAACTCCTCTCCTCCCGGAGTTAGGATGCCCTCAGTGTCACACCTGGGACAGAGACACCCCCACGTCCTAGACCTTCCTTCCTCAAATGTCCTAGCCAACATCCAAGGCAGAAGAGCATCCCGGGAAGTTTCTTGGGGCAGGAGAACGTGGATCACTGAAGGTTCAGGGTTGGTTTGGGTTGGATAAAGCTTCCAAGGTGGATCTATGACTCCTGCTTGCAAGCAAGCCTGGGTGGCCACCTTGGATGGGCTCGTCCCCACCACGAGCGCCCATGGGGAGATGATCCCCACCTCCGTAGCGCCCACGTGGGTTGTGCCTCGGGGTGCAGGGTTGAGCCCCGAATCCTCCGTTTCGGCCCCCTCCTAGGCCGGCTTCAACAGCGGCGACGAAAGCAACTTCTACAACATCCCCGGCTCCCGCACGGAGGCCATCATCAACATCACGAAGACCTCCAACGTCAACGTGCCGGGGCGCTGGGTCTTCCAGGTGGACAAGTTCAAGGTGACGGGGGTGCCCACCGAGGAGCCCAAGATTCCCGACAGCAAAAGTTGCTGGCTGTAAGTTGTGTTTTTGAGGGGCTGGGCCGAGAAAAAAAAGGAGGGAGGATTGCAAAAACTGGGACGCGGGACCCCCGTTTCACCTTCTCCGAAGTCGTTTTGGCCACCATTCCCCGGCTCGGATGAGCCCTGCTTCCTTCCTGCAGATAAAACCGGCACATCCAAATGGGAGGGACCGTCTCCGCTCTCCCCCCACCCCCCGAGGGAGGGAGCCGCACGGCTGGATGTGACGACCTGTAGCAGAGCAATAAATCTTTCCGGGGCCGGGGGGTCAAGGCGTGTGGACGGCTGCTGAAAATATGCGCGGGGAGGCCAAGACGTATCGTCGCTCGTGTTCATGATGTCCCACGTGCGCGTGCATTTACGATTTCTCCTCCTCCGCGTGCACGCGTTTTCGAACAAAATAGCAAGAAGGAAAGAAAAAGGACAAGCAAAAGGGTGGTCAAATTCTCCACCAAGCCAGATTTTTGGGTGCCGAAGGGATGCCCATGGCTTGGAGAGCGCAAAAATCAAAAAAGTGGCCTCGCCTTCCACTAAAACTAACAGCAGAAACAACAGGAAAAAAAAAGGAGGTTTTTGACCACCCGGAAAGCAAACAGGGGCACGAGAATTTGCAAGGTGTCGAATTTTTTGCCGAGCTTGCAATCACGCGCGTCACGCGACGGGGAGCAACGCGCTCCGACGCGGGACCCGCTTCCCTCGTCGCCACCGATACGACCTGATTTGCCCAGATTTGGGCATTGTACTTGTTTTTTGGGTTTTGGGGGGGGGGGGTTTTTTTTTTTTTTTTGCAATTCCCCCCACTCTCCCTTTTTTTTTTTTTCCCCCCCGTTTTTCTCATCTTTTTGCATCTGGCTGTTGTAACTGCTGGTCCCTGCGGGCAGCAGCTGCTGCCGCCCCCCCCGCCTGCCAAA